AATAACATTTTACTGAATAAAACTGAATTATTGGCTGTAAGTAGAGATGGACCAACCAATATGGATAAAATCAGAACCAGTCTAGAGTTTACCCCACAACTTAAAATGAAACAAACCTGAGCTTTCTTTCTTATGTTCAAAACCATCTAGTCAACCTTTTTTTTTAAAGATTCAGTTTTCCTTAGAACCAGAAAATCCATGGGAAGGCCTGATTTTCTGAGATTCCCACCCTGACCTTCACATGGATGCTTAACCAAATGGAACCATTTCAGCTGCTACATCACTAGTCAGAATAAAACCACTACCCAGCATTTAAGAGACATGCATTACAGATGCATACAGGGTGGCATACTACTGTCTATCTGGAATCTGGAGTTTCCACCATGAATTCTGCTACAATAATCCTGGGAATTGACCCCACAATTAAATATTCACAACGGGAACTATTTACAGCAACCTGTCTTTGAAGCATAGGACCAACATCTCTGCTGGCATAAATGGACACAGCTTCACTTACTTTAATGGAGTTTTATTCCCTTTGTGCCAGCAGAGAACCTACTCAGCTGGGTTTTATATGATCAAGTGTGATACTGTGCCCTTACTGTGGAATCTCCTGCACAAAATCTTGCAAATCTTTATTCAAAATAACTCCAACCAAACACAAAACAGCCCTCCTACTGAAATCCAGGGGAGTTCTACCTGAGTAAGTAACTGGACCTGGCTATGAGGGTTAAATTCACTAGTGTTGTAACCCTTTGGAAGGTAAAGGAGTTACACTAGCAGCAAATTTAATCTTATAGGCATGTCATTCCTTCTAGCCTTGCTTTCTCCTGAATGTATTAGATGCATTAGCTGTAACTCTGGGTATTTAAACATGACAGTGATGAATGCCAAGGAAAATTGATATTTAAAGGTGATATCAGAATGCCAGGGATAGCTGGTAAACAATGCATTTGGAAACTCACTTTCACTTGCATTCCTTCTTCTTTTTTAAGCCAAGAAACTAAAGTCAGGCTGGCCAGTATGGGCACCTGTGTGATTTAAAGGCTTAGTCCCTTTCTTCCCAACACAACAAAGAGGCAAAGGCTTTAAACCCCACAGCTAGACAGCAATCCAAGCAAAAGATTCACAAAAGAGAATTCCCACTTTATATGGGCCACACTGGGTAGCTGGGCTCAGGTAGCCTGACTTTGGTTTTTTTGGGTGGGGGGGGGGGGGGGGGGGAAGAGAATCTGGCCCTAAAATAATGAAAATGGAACTGATAAAATAATTTACCCCTACATAACCCCCCCCCCCACACACACACACACATGCTAAATCACTGCAGAAAAATTAGCATCAATATTGGAGTTTCTGTAACAGATTGACTGCAGGAAACCAGGGTTAAGATTATGCTCTTCTAGCAGCCCAGAGCATGTGTGGCCAGTGATTCAGTGAACAAGCCCAGCAGCAGGTCAAAGAGTTAAGCAGTTCTCTTCTGCGCAGCTTTACAAGATAATACATCTTGATTCTCTTCCATCCGGAGTACACTGTGGTTCATTCCTAATTAGAGCACTCTGCTCAGCTGCCCCCTACTGTCCCCCATAGTTTACTGGGTTCCATGGAGAAGGATCTGATACGCCCTTACTACCTTTTTTTCCATCTCTTGCAATTTCCCTCTGCCAAAGCACCCAGACTGTCCTTTTGGGAACCAGGCTGCACCGCTACATTTCTGCCTCTAGTCCACTGCTGAGGGCTAAAACAAAATCACAGGAGGGGCTGTCACTTGATAAAGGGTTGCAGCTTCCCCCTCTTTTAAGGATGTCACAGACTTTTATGTGCCAACGGAAAGTGGGCAGGGGAGGAAAGGAATTTCAAACCGAGTTCTTCTGCCTGCAGCCAGCTTTGACCTTATTTCTGTGATGGGGAGCGGGACACTAATTGTCACCACAGACAGGCTGCAACCCAGGGTAGGCATTGATGGAGCATTCTGACAACTCACAGCCATGGACCTTCTGCTGGCTTCTAGCCCAGAGCCAAATTGGGCTGTAGATCCCTGAGCTACCCCAGGCTTTCCCTATTGCTTATTATTTTTGGTTTCTCCATCCTCTTTATTTATATTTCAGCATGTGTCAAAGACTGACATTTCCACCCCTCTGTCTCATGCATTCCTTTCCATTTGGTTGGGTATTATGATGAAGTTCCCTCTCCTATCCCGCTGCTCAATAAACATTTCCTAACAAACACTCTCTGCTAGCGCCCTCGGAAATGAGTGTCCTTTCTTTGTTTCCCATTACATTGAGCATCGCTGCATCTTTCTCTAATACTGACAACCTTCTTGTTCAGTAGTCGGAACGGCTGCATCGAGTTGTTAATATGCTTTTGGAGCTTTCCTGCTGCACCATTCCACTGCAAACTGTCATGCCTGGGGGAGGGTTACAACCGGCTGCAGGATGGGGAGGTTTT